TTGGACATACCCAGAAAACCTCCCTAAGGTGGCATCCAGGGGGGCACAATGCTAGGGGGCTTTACCAGATGGCCGACCCACCTTAGCTAGCTCCTCTGGATATTGAGGAGCAGTGGTTCTACTGCCTCTCCTGGATAATTAAACTTCTCACCCTATCTCTAAGGGAGAATTCAGCTACCCTATGGAGAAAACCCATCTTGACTGCCAGAGTACCCAGAGTTTGTGACCTTAGTGAGGGTTGGAATGTAGACATGCGTGGTTCTATTGGCGGCAGCTAAAGGTGGGGACCTTGGCGCTCTGACCCTAAACAAAGCTGGGTTTTTTAGAACTCAGTTAAAAAATAGCAAGTTCATACAGAAGTCTGATACAGACATTTACTTGAAGAGATACACATTCGTTTTACAACTTAAAAATGTACATACATTAAGATGGTTTTGACAGTGATACTTAATTAGAACTAAAATAGTTACTACATTCAGGCTTTTGAATAATATTCTAATTTAAAAAGAAAACTAGAGGGCTGAATAGGAAACTTTTCATCACCTAATCAATGCAAAAAAACACACCAGTAGCAGAGAAACCCAAAGTGGGGCCCGCGGGCCAAAATTGGCCCGCCAAGCCATTTGATTTGGCCCACCAGCAGTTGTTCTGGTTACTAGATTGTAATTATGTTAAGATTAAATATAAAATACAAGTGAAACATTTAGGTTATATTTAAGTCCATATCTAGATTTGCACACCTTATAAGACCACATATACTCAAATTTTAAATTATGAAAAGTCCCATGAGCCTTTGCTGCCTGAGCATAAGTTGAATTTTCTCCATGTCCATGGGCTGAAAGAAAAAAAACATGGGCAACCACACTGGCTGCTAGCTTGATCATAAAAAATAAAACAACTTTACTTAAGAAGTATTTGCATTGCTTGTATTATTGCATTTGGCCCACGGCCCTCAGATTTATTTTAATTTTGGCCCTCTSAGGGAAAATGTTTGGGCATCCCTGGTATAGAGATTCATTGTCATATTTGTAACTTGCGTACAAATTATGGTGCCAAAAATGCTAAACAATGTTTAAATGGTTTTCAAAATAAATATACTTCAATTACACTACAACCTGAGATTAACCTTGTTGTTTTAGCAAACTAAAAAGACATTCTGTGGGTATGACTATAGGGTCGGTCTAAAATAAGAATATATCTTCCAGTAGAATCATTTTGGTGATAATGTATTAGAAATAAAAATTATTTGTAGACACGAATGCTTGAACAGCTACATTTTTTCTGTAGCTAACAAAGTTTAAAAGGGACCTATCATGCAGACCCTATTTGTTAAATGTATTTTGTTGTGTACTTGGAGTTGACATACTTTGATTAATTTGTAAATAAAAAGTTGCTGTGCCCCTAGACCACCATAACCCCCTCTCTCAAGATGGAATAGACCAGTCTGGAAACTGGAAGGGGGGCAGGTGTAAAGCATCTCGTTTGGATTTAAAGAGACAGCATTGAAACGAGTAGATCTGAGACACACCTCAGAAACTAGAGGGGCTTGTGGAGTTACAATAAGGAGGATTCAGACCAAAGCATTGCAGTTCCACTTTACATAGACTCCAACTGAATGATTTAAATGTGAAAAAGGATTTAAAAGCATATGTCCACTTTAAAATGCTTCTTAAACACAAACAGTTAAAATAGGAGCTGATGATGAATCTGATTGTTATCAAATAACAATCAGAATATTTAGAAGTAGGTTGTTTAAAGCAATTTTGTGCCTCTGTACTCACTGAAATATAGAATTTAAACAATTTGCAAATTATTTGTTTATTCTGTAGATTTAACACTCTCAACTTTTTATTTCCTGTAATGTATTTCAGTTTAAAAACAAATGTCCTACTTCTGTAACTAGAATTGACTGTTTATTTTTAACACTGCTCTACACGGTTATGTTGGTTGACAATTACCTGAAGRACTCATCTTGTGTTGCCATATCTCTAGAGGAGGAAGTGGATGTTAATGAATGCCTCTTGCACAAACATGCACATTTCTCAGGGTTTAGAACATAACCGACACGTTGGCAAATCAGTTACACAGCTTAGGGCTTCCTGGTGCAGACAGATAGAATCGGGAGAGAACATGACAGATTTARCAAACAGCTCAGACAGAAAAGAGAGCAGAGATTTGACTTTAAAAAAGACATCTGACACATGCAGATAGGCATCATGTTTTTTTGTGTGTGTGTGTGTGTGTGTTTGCTGGCAAATTAAATCACTGCAGAAGCGAGATAAGAACCAAGCAAACAACATAAAATGTTAGAAAAGATGATTTACTGACAGCATGAATACAAAGGAAGCGCTATAAATATAACTCATATGATTTGTTAATAAAATGCCAGAATATAAGTCTCGCTTGTAATTTGGTGTCTGCCATAAACTATACTTTAAAGTTGTCCAAATACTGAAGTAATAAGCCTTTTTTTATTTGTTTTTCCAGCCGAATAGCTCATCAGAAGCCCATATTTGGCATGTAGCGTTTCCTTCTTTTTGTAATCATTTAAGAGATTAGATTCAGTTGATCCTTTTTTATTCTAACCAGTGATGGTCCAGTAGCCAACTCAATGTGTTACTCATCATCATTTACAATGGAAGCTATCACAGTAAAAAAAAAAAAAAGGTAGTCTATTTTAACAAAGCGGTGAACAAAAAGTACCTAAAATGGTACTTGTTGATTGGTATTAATACCATTAAATGGCAAATAAGTTGACTAATCCAGACAAATGACAGCAGTCTGCGTGCATCACTAAATCTCATCAACAGCAAGATACATAAAGACATGATTGTACATGACTGTAGCATGTAAAAATAAAGAATGACGTGGAGAGAAAGGAAAAACTGAGCGCAACAACTCAAGAGGTTGTGACTGATATGAAACGTTTATATCATGATTCAATTTTCAGCCATATCGCCCAGCCTTACATTGTTCTGCACTGACTAAAGTGTGCAAACGCAGTCCCAGTAGTCCCATTAGGATTGCACATTTGCATGAGATACAACTAAGATAATGATGTCATTATGCAGCAGGCCGTTTACAATAAARCAAACAGATTCATGTGATTTTTAATGAGCAGCACAATACACGTTCACCATGATGTTCATGAGTATAACAACAACTTTACGCAGTTTTACAGCACAATTTCAAAGTTTTCAAACAAAAACTYATGTTTGCATGCTTACAATTAGCAGTTATTGTTATGCCCAAATTTAGCATCTTAGCATCTCTAAGAAGATGAAAATTATTCAAACATTATTTGTCCTGGTGTGTGCTTATATTCCAAAACTAAAATAAAGTCTGACCCAAAGTGCAACTATAGTTTGTAAAAACAGACCTAAAGCAAATGTCAGGTTCTGTATTTCTTCTAAAAACCAGTGGAAAAAAATTTAAAAAGAATGAAATTAAGCTCTTAGAGTGTTTTTTAATGAGTGCACATCATCTGCCATCACACCAGAGGTTTGAACTAAAATCAGAGACTCCATTAAAACCATTTYTGTCAAACCTTGAAAAAATGTTACGTGTCAGGTGATCTGTTGGCACTCGGAGTGCATGTCGGGAAAGACTTTCAGCTACTACCGCATCAAACTTGAGCTTATCTGTGAAACTGACTGAGTTGAAGCGTTTTGTGTTTAACTGTGGTAGCAATCAGGACAACTTTCTGAAAGTTTTGTCAAAATTCATCCATGAAATGCTACAAATAAATGCACATAAGTCTTTCCTAATCATAAATTCTGTTGACATTACAGGGACATTTCAAATTAAAGATTTAAACAGGAAACATTCACACGAGATGCTATGGTATTTTAAGACTGCAGTAATCCACTTTAGACTTGCTTAGACTTGCCATGAGCTCATCAAACCAGTCAGAATTAAACTTTTCTCTAAACTGAGGTCATTCAATGGTAAATTTACAATATGTAAAATAATAAGTGTCCATAAATTTTCTATATAACYCATCAAAAGATCTGAACTATTCATTAAAGCCCTTATGCATTATGTTTTATGGCTTTACAGGATAGGYACATATGCATAAATAAGTCAAGGGATCTTAAAACTGACTTCAGTTCATCCTCTGGAACCCTTGAATGATAAACTCTTGAATCAACATTTTAACATTTACAGAATTTCTCTAAATGCTGGGATGCTTAAATACTGGATTATGACACAGTATATTATTTTTCTAGCTGATTTTTTCTTTTATTCCCAAACTACTACACATTTTCAGAGTCAAGCCTTTCCTAATCGAACCCTCAAAATGGTCCAGATGTGAACTAAAACAACCTGTTCCTGATACRTCTGTGTCACTGCTTCCTGTATGWTGTTTCCACTCAAATGGCTCAAGCACCGTGGCACACAAACGCTGACCTTCTTTCAGGATTTCAACACACACTCATTTTTTAAAGTGCTAATCATTGACATGATTGAAAAAGGGATACTTTTGTTGGAATAACCTCCACTKCACCCATTAACTCAAGGGAACATCCTTTTCAGTTAAGCAATACAAATGAGGGATGGCTGAATACTTTAAAAGAGATCCAGGTGAACCGCAGCATCCGCAGCTACAGCATTCAGCCCGAAACAAAACATCTACTTTTCTGTTTCATTGACGTGCATCCGTCTGCACCGCACTCAAGATGTTTGTAGATGAGCGAATTTTAACGTTGTTCAAACGAAACGCCCATCACACCCTGACTTACTGGAGCGTTTTCTTCAGYTTCGGACTCTGCATTGCTTTTCTCGGACCTACGATTTTGGACTTGCAGTGTCAGACCAACTCAACTCTCAGTCAGATTACCTGGGTTTTCTTTGCCCAGCAGTTCTGCCTGTTAATCGGCAGCTCTGTCGGGGGTGTCTTTAAGAGAACGTAAGCCCCTGTAACATGTTCGGGCCTTTGTTTTCAGGTGCAGAAACTGTCGGATCTAACTGTATTTRTCTCTGTTTTGTTGTGGTCAAAGGTTGTTCAGCGCTCTAGCTGCGTTATTTATCTCCGCTCTTATCATCTCTGTGATCTTCGCCATCATTCCCGTGTGCAACAATGTCCTGGTGCTGGCCATCRCCATGGCAGTGTCTGGTTTGGCGATGGGCGTTATCGACACCATCGCCAACATTCAACTGGTGACCATCTATCAGAAGGACTCTGCTGTTTTCTTACAGGTGATACCATCTGTGGTAACTTTGCCTTATCTCCAAAAAGCACTGACGCTGTGGTGCTCACCTTTAATTGACTTGATTCTGCAAACACTAGGACTTTTTATACRTGCAGAAGTTAGTCGAAGCTCATTTCGAAGTTAGGAGATAATTAGATGCTGTAGCTATTTAAAAGCCGCAGCTGTTTGATGTCCCTGGCCTTTTCTCCACTTTTGCAGGCTCTGCACTTCTTTATTGGGTTCGGTGCCCTGGTGAGCCCGCTGATTGCAGATCCTTTCCTCTCCGAGTCGGGCTGTGGGAATCACACAGGGAACGAGACCGAGATCATACATCATTTCCGAAACATGCTGAGAAACAGTCCGATGGYAGAGCACAACATTACTCAGAGCCACCTTCTTCACGAGGGAGGGGAGGTGGAGGAGTCCAGCGTGCACTATGCTTTCTGGATCATGGCGTTAATTAATGTAAGAAACTCAGCAGATGAGCTTCGGTCTTTTTTTTTTCAGGTTAGATTATTTGATGGTCTTTCTTTAAAAAAATGTTTCAAATGTTTTTTCAGCTGCCTGTTCCGCTTGCAGTGCTGTTTCTCATGTATCGGGAGCAGTTACTCCCATGCTGCACCAGTGGCCCTCCACGCCTTTTAGACAAAGATGAACTAGCCATGGAGACCCAGCAGGGGGCCGAGGGCCCAGACTTGGAACAGAAGGAACGTGAAGCAGGAGGTACAGATTTAAAATAGGTAGTTTTTTCCCCTTCAATTTGTCATAAATATTGAATTCCTTTCTTGGATTTTCTGTCAGGTAGAGGAAAAAAATGAAACAATAAGTGCCATTTTATGCACACCAAAATKTCATCGGCGACTCTTCGCTTTGTTCCAGGTCACGGGAGCATCTTCAGCTGCTGTCAGAATGATAACCTGCGTGGGTTGCCTGTATCCTTCTTCATGATTCATATCCTTGGAGGGATGGTGCTCTTTATGACTGATGGCATTGTGGTGAGTGATCAGCGCAGATAAACCCCATAGTATTCCTTCCACTGAACTCCTTTTTTCACATGAATGTGAATTCAAGATCTGCCTCRTGTAAAGGGAAAGAAAGTAGGATATCTTCTTTGTTTTTCAGGGTGCTTATGCTGGCTTTGTGTACACCTACGCTGTGGCGTCGCCGATGTCRTTGCCTCATAAGACAGCCGGTTACCTGGCGAGTATTTTCTGGGCGGCGATCACTGCTGGACGTCTCTTGTCCATACCTCTTTCATATCGTTTCCAGCCTGTAAGAYTGCTGCTGTTCAACTTGGTAGGACTAATCATTCAGAGGGTTATCATTTCCTTACGCGATCAGTTTGGTCTATAAAATAAAAATTTGTTTATAAATACGCAATTTCCTTTTGTTTYTCCAGGCAGGAGCTATTGTTACTGTGTTGATGCTGCTCATTTTCTACACCAGCAACGTGTTTCTGTTTGTGGGAACCTGTTTGTGTGGACTTTTCCTAAGCAGCATATTCCCCTGCATGCTCGCCTACACCGAAGACATCCTGGATTACCAGGGTATAACACAGTCCTTTACTGCTCAACAATAATGCTGGAATCAAAGTGAGAGGAGACRAAATGAAGCGTGTTTCTTTATGCAGGGTGTGCAACTTCCGTCCTGGTGACGAGTGCAGGGATGGGCGAGATGGTCATGCAGGTTCTGGTTGGCTCAGTAAGTTGGATGAATTTTTTTTTTGCTACAATCAATCCACAACAAATTAAAAAAAACAAGATTGTTTTATTATTTAGTACTGTTCAGTATTTATTCTTTAGTTTCCATCTCAGTTTTACATTTTCTTTTACAACACATACAACTGAAACTTTATSACATACACAATAAATGATTTGGCTGAGATCCCACCTATTTAACAGTTTCTTTTATGGTAGAACAAAACCCTCCATAATATTCAACCTGCCTGTTGTTTTTATTAATTCCTTCTAAAAAACCTTTCAGACAGTTCTCTTTCAATTACACTGCTGCTATAGCATGAAATGATCTCCCTAGGTATATACAGTCAATATCTAGTAAATACACAATTAAATCAAAGATCAAAGTTTTTTTCCTTGACTAYCTTTGTCAGGAAGAGCTGAATCCTTTTATCATGGTCTAGATTTATGTCTTTTTTTGCTTTGTTGTTGTAGTCTGATGATTTATTGCATGTTACAAACATACGTTAGGCTGCCTTCAGGCCTAGGCCTCCTTTTCAAAAGAGATCTTTGATTTTAATGGTATTTGCCTGGTTAAATAAAGGTTAATAAT